TTATATACCTGACCGATCTCTACCAGCCTGGTTAACAGCCGGTATGGTTCTCAGCCCACCCGACTGCCCGTATAGCCCGATTGATCTCAACCAAATCGGGGTAACATGCACACATAACACATAGCAAGCACATGCAACCCACATTAACACATTGGGAAGGGGGAGAAAACGTATAACAAAACCTATGCGTGATCCTTCACATACTAAGAATATTCCTAAGGGGTTCATACTTCTTTCACCTAGGTCAACGGGATACCAATTCAACTAGCATGCAATATATAAGACTCATACGACCTACGAACGGTACCCGAAAATCAAACTAGACATAGGCACGATAGACGGAGTCCGTTGGGACACCACGGGGGTCGGGGGAACATCAAACGGGGAAGCCGGGATCCCGAAGTGGGGGAATTTCCAGCGGGTAGCCGGTGGGTGGGGTCACCCGCCGGCATTCTACAAATCCGGGCAGCGGGTGCGCGGCGGGCAGCTGCCCGCCCGCCCGCTGCCCGCTGCCGGCGTTGCCCGATTTGGCTGCGGGTAGGTGGCGGGTCCCCTACCCCCACCTACCGCCCACTGACTCTTTTTCATCAAAAACGCCCCGGGAACCTTTGTGGAACCCGAAACCATGCTTAGACACTTTCAAACGCAATTGATAACACACGTAGACAATTAACGGATCAAAATCAAGAAACAAACGGCACATAACTTATCATGCTTTTCTAGACATAATAAACACCCAATCATGCGAAATCCCACCCAATATACCAAGAATAATTCCATACGATACAACCTAGGGTTCTAATCACTTTTAAATCAACAAGGACACAATTCATCTTCTAATATCAAGATTTGGTAAGAATGTCACATAAACATCAAGAATATCCTACAATCATTAAGAACATCATATAATCATCAAGAACACCATAATTATCAAGAACCTTTCATCATCAAGATCACCCATGGAATCATCCCACCAATCATCAATAATAATATCACAGATTATCAATACACAATAATATGGGGAAATCCTAAGAGGGGAATCATAGCTATGAAAATAGGTTTTGTTGAGACATGGGTTACCTCTTAGCCTTAATTAATTCCTTGGCTATGAAGGGTCTTTCTTTAAGCTTTCTTGCTTTCTTGATTTCTTCTAAGGGAATTCTTGGAGCTCTTTGGGAGTGTGGAACGTTATTGTGGTGGGGGGTTTCTAGGTGCCTCTTAAGTCCCCTATTTATATATTTAGGAGTCCTAATTAGGAACTAATATTATAGGCTTGCTAATTCTATTCCTTTTGGGACTAAGGGTTGGGTTTAGGGATAAGGGCCCGTGGACTATGGTGGGCCTTTCCTAATTAATTATTGTGATTTAATTCTTTATTTTGGGTAATTGATTAAATGATTTAATTGATTTTAGGGATCGTAACACGGGGTGTTACAATGGTGTCATTCTTGAAATCGCTTAAAGAAGTATGTCCTGCAGATATTCGTCCAGAAGACATTCGTCTGGAAGGCGAAAAACCCCAATTATAGGTGCACCCAAAATCATAATACAGGGATGCGGAACGACCAGATAAAAATACCTTTGGGAAATGGCTAGAGTCTGGTTGAATTAGAAATTGTCGTTATTTTATATATATGGGAGAAATTTATGAAAAATGTTATAGTTGTCGACAACACAATTGTCTTATAAATTGCTCTTAGTATATGAGAATCTGGATCCAGAGCTAGGCACCAGTAGTGCCTTGATTTTTTTTTTTTTTATGTATAAAAGAGCAATTAAGGCATGTACAGCTCAGCTCGCTAAAACTGTATTCTCTTTATAACACGTACACCATTTAATGTTAACCCTGTAGGTTACAAATGGGTGTTTGTACGAAAGAGAAATACAAACAATATGGTGGTATGATATAAAGCGAGACTGGTAGCTTAAGGGTTTACGCAGAGACCCTGAATTGATTTTGATCAAATATTCTCTCCCACAACATATGGCATTACGTTCCGCAAATTAACATTATTGGCAGTGAATTATGAATTTAGATATGCAGTTGATGAACGTCATGACCGTAATTTACTGGTCATTAGACGCTAATATTTATTTGTAAATCCCCGATGGATTCAACACTTTTGGAATGTGGAAAGTGAAAATCTCAACGTGTATCATTAAACTACTAAAGTCTTTGTATGACTTGAATATTATTGACTGAGTGTTTTCCTCCCGAAGAAGGAATGTATAAATAATATGTACCATTATGTGTTCGTTAAAGAATTGCTAATGGAGTTATTTATTTATCATCTCAGTCGATATTGACGGTTTAAATATCATTGAAACACATAGAGAGCTTGGTGATATTAGCTCATGCCGAAAGATGGAGTTTTAAAATAAAAGACTTGGAAATCCAAGTATTGTCTCAACCTGAAGAACGAGCTTCTCCTTGAAGAAGTTTTATACACCAGTTAGCCTACTTGAAAAATATCTTGAAGATGTTTTATATAGACAAGTATTATTTACTTATCACACAAACGGTTGTCCAATAATCTCTTGAAGTAGATAAATGACCATTTAGACTCGAAGGTTATAATGAGGATATTTAGGGACCGGAAGTCCATTACTTCATTGCTATTGGAGCACTATTATTGAACTAGAAGTTCCATAATCGCATCAGGCCTGATATTGAATTTGCGATGAAATTGCTAACAAGATTTAGTGCTTCTCCCTACAATGAAAATTGGAATGGTATTTAACATATCCTCCAACACCTTCGAGGTACAAAGATTTTGACGTTTATGTGAGAAACCAATATGTGGTTTTGATGGGCAACTTGGGCATTAGCTCTTTTATTTTATCCCTATGATGCCAAGTTCAGAACTGGTTATGTTATATTTTTACCCCCAAAGTCCCATATGAGGATAAATAAGATTGTGTTGCACAAGCAAGTAATAATTTTGTTAAGGGGAACCTTACAAAACATGTTGCACCTAAATCCTTCTACACACATAAACTCTAGAAGAGTTGTAAAATTCTTATTGAGAATGTTTTTCCCACTGAACAATCTTGCAAATATGTTCACTAAGTCTCTGCCTACATCCACTTTTGAGTAATATGTTCATAAAATTGGGATGCGTGGGCTTAGAAGATTGTTATCTTCAGAGGGAGCGACAACGCCTAGCTGTGCTAGAATGGACAATCTAGAGGACTTTTGATATCCTGAATATTATGCTACGAAAGCATATGGTTGTACTCTTTTTCCCTTAGCTAAGTTTTTCCCACAGGGTTTTCTTAAGCTAAGGTTTTTAATGAGGCAACCGATGTTGGTGCACTTGAGTGGATAGTCCTGAAGACTCTTGAAATCTTGAAGATTATGCCCAGAAGGCTTATGTTTGTACTCTTTTCCTTGGCTAAGTTTTTTTCCCACTGGGTTTTCTTAGGCTAAGGTTTTTAATGAGGCAACCGGTACAACACATGGATCAACATACTTCGTGTACTCTTTTCCTCGTCTAAGTTTTTCCCACTGGGTTTTTCTAGCGAGGTTTTTAACGAGGCATGAGTATAGTTTGATAATGGCCAAGGGGGAGTGTTATAAATATTATTGTTATTATGGCCATTATCACAAGACCTTTCATTTGCCTTATATTTATTCCATTATTTATGTTATAGAAAATGAAGGGTTATATGGATATATATGTATACATGTTCAAGGCATAATGAAAGAGTGAACTTGTGTTCTTGAGTTCTACATTTTTGTGTTATATTTTTCTCTCTACTCTTCCATTCCATATTGCAATATTCTTCATACATACAATCGATGCGTTACCGTACAACTATCACGCGAGAACTAACAAGTTGATAGGCCGAATTACAACATAAAAGACCATTTGACTTTTTAAAATCATGCAACCCATCTCAAGTGATCTCACAAATTATTCCGTAGACGCGGGTCCAACTTGCAAGGTGGACCCGTGTCCAAATGTTCGCACAATTTGTTTACTACGAACACACAATGTTAAAATATATGTAATTGATTACATTGTTTTGTATTCACAACTTCCTTTCAAATATTACAATCACAATATTAACATATTAGGATTTGATGAATACAAATTCCCTTTTATAGTCGTTATGTGTTTTGACTTAGAAACACAGTTTATATTCTAAAAGTTCACAATAACAATACTAAAAATACATAATAACGTCATTTAGAGTATGGTCCACCTTACAAGGTGGACCCTAGTCCATGGTATAACAACTCAAGTGATTTGAAGATGGGTATCATTTTTAACCGGTCTAATTGTAACCGTTTTTATTGAATGGCGAAAATGCATTTTCACATTTTGTTCAATGACTAATTTGACCCTTATTTTTTTACTTTATTATATTTAAATGATTTAAGAATGGAAACATATGATAAACCTCTCACCCCCTCCCCCCCCCCCCCCCCCCAAAAAAAAAAATATATATCTAGCACTGTAACTTTGCCACATATTCGACAAAGTTATGTAACTATTACCTATTCCAAGTACTATATTTGAACTTCTTTTTTTTTTTTTTTTTGAAAACAGTACTATATTTGAACTAAATATTCATTCTTTCAAAATAACTCATGATGTCAAGTAACATTTTTACCGAGTGACAAAACTCGCTAAAAGCTCAGCGAGTCGGCTCACTGGAAAGAAAAAAATACAAATACAAACAGATCCTATGAGGTATAAAACTGGTCTATGTATGATTTCCTACTCCAACCTGCACTCTGGGATCAATTTTCACCAACACTCAAAAGTGTTGAGCTGTGCAATGAATCTTCTTTGGCGCCACCTGAGGTCGTTGGATGTTGTTGCACGAACCGATGGGATAACAAGTCACCGAGGTCGTCCCGTTTGTAGTTCATCAGAGCACCTAATGCGCCCAGAAATCCTTCGTGCTTCAAAAACAACGCCTTTGCCTCGCCCTTCGACCTGCGGGCGTTATAATTGTATTGAATTGAATCAAGTATGAAAACATCCAAGTAAGAATCATCAACATTTTATACATTTGCGGGGAATGAGATTTTGTGTGTGTGAAGGCGATTTAAAGGTATGGCATGATAGATGTTCAATCGCGTAAACCAGGCAATGACAATGAGAGTGTGGAATTGAGAATTACCAAAAGTCGACTCCCACAGAAATGGTGTCCATTGTGTAAGCATGACCCCGAATGAAAAATCCTCCGAAAAATATTCGCTTGAGTCCAAAACGTAATGCATTCAAGTAAGCGATCTGCAGAAAGTAAAAAAATAAATCACAAAAAAGAGAATAATCATTTTACCCCCTTTGCTAGGGCTGGCAGACCCCTCCGCTAGGACCTCTAACAAAGAGCACAAATGATATGGTGCTCAAGCCAAGACCCTAACTCCATTAAAAACAAGCTAGCTCATGAGTGGAGGTTTGGCTCCAACTTAAGTACCACTCCACAATCACTTGTGGAGCCGATGTGGGATCACATCAGAAGCTCTAGAATTTTAAGTATAGACTGAACTCAAAGAGAAGAAGGTTATTGATGATAAGATATCGTGCAGGGGTGTATCACCAACCTGTGCAATATTGTTGGAGATCATTCGTAACAATGACCGGGAAATATCTTCAGTTCTGTACTCATCGAGCTCTTTGTTTTCTGAGATTGCCTTTCCAAAGCTAGAAGCGATGGCTGTTGATGTAAGTCCAATCTGTCATCAAGGCCGAGCAAAACAGAATCAATAACTTTTTGTCAGTCCATATTGGAGTTTATATTACATCGGTGTTCCGCAAGACAAATTCACGAGTCATCATTTTAGTCAAAAACTAATGAATTACTCACTAGAACCTGCATAACGTTTAATTAAAGTCACTAAAATTATGAGCGAACTAAAGGGTCCCCAAGTACAAATTGATATCAATCATATCCTTGAATGGAAGAATCGGGTATCATTACTGTCCTCAAAATATATACAGAAATCAGCAAATCTTAATTAAGCAATTTGTTCTGTTTTAGAAAATAAAGCTTACCAACATTAGCTAATGCTAAAAACAAAAACAAAAAAAAAAAAAAAAGAACCTCGAATTTTACCTTCGAATAATCTGCTCCACCATAAATGTCTCCGACAAGCATGTCTACAGCCTTGTTATTTCCTTCATGACTCCATTCCAGTAACTCATCAAAACTGAGCAAAAAAAGAAACTAACTTTTGATTAGAAATAAATTTTACGAAGCTGAAAACCGTACCGTGTGAACAAAGGCTTACCTCTTGCACTGTGTCAAAAGCTTCCCCAAGCCCCAGAAGGTGCCACCTCCAACACTAGTCCCGCTTACTCGCTCGAACTTGTTGTCCCCATCCACCTAAATGCAAGAAATTAAATGTAATCCCCCAAAATACATGAACGGGGATGCACGAATGAAATTCTGAAACGAATTACAAGAAAACATGATCTGGTTCTTGTTTCTCTATCCCAAACAAGTTTAGCATCCCAATAACATCTCTATTCGCACTCTTCTTCTCCCAAAAGGTTGAATCCCCAACCCCAAGGGCCCCCACACCCCGGCCCGACATAGTATTTGAGAGTTGAGCCAAATGTCGGTGCACACAAGGGATCAGTCCACTTTGGACATAATCCCCACATTGCAAGGTTTCTTCTCCCAAATACTGCCTACTGAACCAGTAAGCTAAGCCTGTGTTGGCACCTACCTCTCTATTTGCACTCTGTTGGCATAGAAAACTACTCTATATTCCCGCTTAATCTTTACCCTTATCAGGGGGGGTGGTGGTTAATGTTTGTTTACCTTTATCATGCTAACACCAGATCCAATATTGACAAGAAGATAAGGGTATAAATCATTGTGATCGATTTGCACATATTCCTTCTGACCATTTATGTGTGAAAAAGCTTCATGCTGGACCGCCTGGTCAAAAACAATTAAGGTAATGCTTAGAAAACCTAGATGGAATTGAAATGTCTGTCATACTATGTTTCTTGATAGGTAGAAATCGAAACATCACATGCACAGAAGAAGAGGGAAGGTAATTAAATAGAGAATGAAAACACGAAATTAAAGAACGATAATTTAAGCTATAGAGAAGTCTAGCATACCAAATATTTTTTATTTCTTTGATAAGTAGAAATACCAAAGATTTCACATTTTAAATAAATAAATTGTGATTTTCCAATTCAGGGGGGATGGGAAAACAAACAAATCATAGGAATACTGACCAAATAATTTTGCTACAAAAGTCCCACCTTAAGCAGAAAATTTGCTCCTGCAACAAGACAGTCCATCTCGTCTACCTTGTCCAGAGTAATTCCAAGCTTTTCTTTGAATAAATTAGCAAACTTGAACGCGCCACCACCTGTCGCCTTCACAAGCAAAACCAATCATTAATAGGTGATGCAGTTGGCCGTTGGTCCAAAAATTTGACAACCACCACCATATTTTATCCTAGATTCGGAGAAACAAAATCAACAAAACCAAAATCCTCCATTTGAATCAATAAGTTAAATGAGGTCACATTCTGGTTAAAATTATGATCTCGCCCTAAAAGCCCAAACCATATAGGTAATCCTTTGAGAATAACCAAAGAGAGTTAAATACGTTAGGCTCAACCGCTTACCACTACCCAAAAGATATAGCTCGTAACCTCGTAGCGAAGGCGCAACTTTATTTCTTTATACCACCACATTTTCGAGAGGCAAAGTGCTGGACTTGGCCCTTCACCAGCCTCCGCTCAACAAAATCAATGGCCAGAGCACCCTTATTTTTTGTAACACAATTTTCACTCTATCTAAAAGACACAAACCTTTCTCCTTACACGTGTTTTTAACAATCTAAAAACCAAAGTTCTCTAAAAACAAAATAGGAAGATAATGCCCATTAATTAATCTCTTACCTTAATGATGTTCTTGTTTCCGGCATGAGCCTCTGGAAATCTACCACCTGTAATTGCCTTAAGTTTTAAACACTATGTCCAAAAACAAAATAAAACAAATGAACTAAACTTGAAAAATCTTGCAAAACTAAACATACTAAAAACAATAGAAATCATAGAAACTGCATTGAGAATTTCTCAAAGTAATAAAGCATAATCTCTCATAGTAGAAAGCTCACCTTTTGAGTTTTAAAATATAGTACAATATTTTGTGTGTGTATTCTAAATTGCATCATGATCCAATGGAAAAATTTTTACTTCTTATTGCTAATAGTGAACTAGAAGATGGGCATATTTAATGGAACATTACAAAAGTCTCCGCTATTCATCTGAGACCACTCATTTCTTGAGTCACATCTTAACAAGAAGTTTTGCCACCATCCTTTTTAAGGCATGGTTTTAGAATACTATACTCTTTCGTGATATAAAGCAGCCTTTGATGAATATGCTAAATCTATCGTGATGCTCAATTAATTCAAATGTTATATTACAAATAACGTAACTAGGATTGAATGAGCACTAAGTTCACACAAACGAAATCCAACTCTTTTTATCGCCCCCACATTGTTCTCAAGCTTAGACTAGCTCAAGTAATATACGAATGTTATACTCTACCAAGGACACGTACCATTGCAGTTGAGCTGCCTTGACGAGAGAAATTTTATACATTCGTCAATCTTGGCTGTTTCAAACTTCACAAACTGAAGCCTGCCATGTAGAAAGTGGTAGTTCACATCACCATTGGAGTCTTTTTGCTTTTCTTTTATTACCCTCATTCCATTATCATCTGAAGTGCAACTACTGTTACTTGAGAAGTACACCAACTTAATGAGAGAGCCTGCAAAAAACAAGGGTTCTTGGGTGGGAAATAATAATGCAAGTGTCATAAAAAAAAAAATGAGTAATTCATTACTTGATTGAGTGAAACACAAATCTCAAAATGAGTTCTCAAAAGTCCTCTCCTCTTTAGCTCTATTACTTTTTGATTAGCAAGTACAAAATAACCAAATGAATAAACAAGGCCAACTCTCCTGTTATTCATCAAGATTCCAAGAACACACACACAACTCATTGTAGGAATCTCACAACAAAGCACACAAATTTTAAGAAAGGGGATCATTTCTTCTGTATAGGGGACCACCCACCCCTTCAAAGCTAAACTCTAAATTCGAAGCACCCAGAAGGTCAGGGCATAAGAAAAGACAGAAGAACAAGAAAGATCACTTTTTTTAACCCTCAAAGAACAAAAAAGGTTTGACCCACGGTGGATAAGAATAAGAAAAACAGAAAATCAAACAAACAAACAAAAAGGTGCGACCTTTGAAGATTCAAAATTACCTCCAATGTCAATAGCCAAGTGTAACATCAGATCAGAGTTGGAGCTAGTAGCAACCCTTTCCATATCTCTGTATGAGAGTTTCTAAGAATTATTCCCCCAAGTTTCTCTCTCTCTCTCTCTCTCTCTCTCTCTCTCTCTCTCTCTCTCTCTCTCAATCTATCTATCTTTCTCTGTGTCTCGCTGCTCGCCCACTCAACTTCCACCTTATTCTTATATAGAACATCGTCAAGAAAGGCTGCTGATTATAGAGCAGCGTTGTGAAGCTCATACCCAAACCCACCTAACCCCACATAGTCGTCAGGAAGGCGTGATAAACCAAGTTCATAGTCTTTCTATTCCTATTCTTGGTGGCTTTCCCTCGTGGCCTATCCTCAGAAAATGACTGTCTTTTTATCCAATTTTTTTTTTCCTTGCAAAAGTACAAAGTACAAACACACAGGTCGTTGCTTGCGTGTCTTTCCAAAAACGGTGGTGGGCTAATTTTTTTTTTTTTTTTAAGTACTACTTGACTCTATTAAAATGGTACATACACTTGTGTGGATCAGAGTTCAAAACGATGTCGTTTTAATGTTAAAAATTTATTTGCGATGTGTACTAGAATAATGAAATTTCTTGAGTTAAGAATGGTATTTTAGGAGTTAGGATAATATATTTTAGGGTTGTATGCTAAAATAATGAAATTTCTGGGTTAAGAATGTACTTTAGGAATTAGGATAATATATTTTATGTGTTTTTATACCACGGTCCACGCAATAATAATAAAATTTTTGGGTGAAGAATGTACTTTAGAAGTTAGGATAATATATTTTATGTGTTTTTATACCACGGTCCACGCGATAATAATAAACTTTCTGGGTTAAGAAT